ACACATTTTTACAATATTTGGAGCTTTTGATAATCCTATTTTATCATTATCATTATTGCTGCTTGTATCAAATGGTTTTACTTACGTCAAGTGTTTTCAATTACGTCAAGTGGTTTTACCTATGTCAAGTGGTTTTACTTACGTCAAGAGCTTTTACTTTAATCAAGTCATCAAATTTCCCTGGTGAGAAACTGCCTTTAGTCAATAATTTAGTTAAGTTAATGACTAAAGTCAAAAGTTTTGTCATACATACAAGTTGTGTAAACTTGGTTTTCCAATTTTGACTTTGAAGTCAAATATGCGTAATAGCAAATGCACAATAAGATTAATATTAAAACCAAAGCGCGTTTGAGTTGTCCTTAGTGCCAAGTTTGAAATACACATCTTGCTAATATTTCTTGCAATAATGATACCTTTTCATTTTTTAAATGAAAATGGCATTTATTATTTTTATTATATATTTTCATTCATCATTACTGAGTTAGTTTACAATATTAATTATTATCCTATTTTAATGTGCAGAATCACATTAATATGCTAAAGAGAAGTCATTTTACAAGTTTTTACAGCCAACAAATTTTTTAGAAAACTAGGATATCAATTTTCTCAAAAAGATTAAGCATAAATAATTTGCAGAATGCATTAAAAACAATTGTTTCGATGAATGACAAATACTCAGAAAGGGCAATGAGCCTTTTAAATATGATTGATGAACACTAATGATATACCTGACGAAATGATCGACATTTAGTCAACGAAATGTATATAATTTAGAACTATAAAAAAACTGACATTGAATTGTGTAATGAATATCTTGACTTTTTAATAACTCCATAACGATTTTTGGAAAATTTCTGAGATGATCACCATCACCGTTTAAAATAAATAATAAAAAAAAAAAATTAAAACCGGCCTAACTGAAGAATGTCCCAAAAAGTAAATCAGAGTTTCACAGGAATGAACTGATTTCTTTTAGTATTAAGAATAGGACATGGACATGATATGACAATGATATGACAATGATATGATATAGACAATGATAATAATTTTTTGGGAACAAATTTTTTACTTTTGTTGGGCGTTTGATTTGAAAAAAGAATCAAAAATTTTGATTGAAATTTGGTTCCTTTGATCAAATCAAATTGAAATTTTCTTTGTGATTGATTCAATTAAATAAATGTCAGTTACTTTTTGTTAATATATAAAGTATAAAGTATAAAGTAAAGTTGTTACAAAATTTTATGAATTTTTGCAGAATTTGTTTAGTTTAGAACTAAGAAAAATTCAGGATTTAATTTTTATTATTTGTTTGAAAATTTCAAAAAGAAAAGAGAAAAACAGCCTTTGATTATCATAATTGAAGCAACATAGCAAAACCGTCATTTAAATTTTTTGGTGTAACATTTTGATTTTACCTAATACTAATGCAAATGGTTTAGATTACTGTAGCAAGTTTTTTAATCGTAAATAATTGATTGGTTTAGATTGTTAACTAATTAGTAAAAATGTCTTTTTATATCTTGCACAAAAACTAGTCTTGTCAGTGTGTACTCTTGAATTAAAAAAAAATTTATTATTATATTTGTATTTTTAATTTAAATTGTGCACAAAAAAACCAAAAAAAAACCAAACATATTATATTTTTCGAATTTTCATTCTTTTGCTCATTTGTGCACGTGTTTCATGTATGTGTATGATAAATTGGGTTAATATTAACTCAGTTTGGTAAATCGCAATAAATTAATACCAAAGTGGTAGAATAAAGTGTTTATGTAATTAAAAGCTAATCAAATTTGGTTGATCGTAGCTGCATTTAATTTGATTTCTCATATTGTAAATCTACTTTATTGTTGATTCAAATGACAACAATAAATGTAATATTTTATTATTTTATTACCTGAAATTTTTTTATCATCATCAAAAATGTCGTCAATTCTATTCATGATCAGATTGGTAGAAATCACCACAAAAACTAATGAAACAGTATCTGGCGAGGTGGTGTTTTGGTTAAATAAGAGAATTCGGTTATTTAGAATTTAAGATGTTTAATGAATATTTATTTCATGATGTAATTAAAGGTTTGCGTATATTCGTTCGTGGGATCTTTTTTCTGATGCCAAAATTAAAGTAAGTTTTTGCTGCAAGTAGTCAATCATTAATGATTAATTAATTATATACTCTCTCATATTATCTATTAGTAGTTCGCCAAGCAATCAAACTCAACATACGGGTCGCGTTTACTTCGTCGAAAGTTTGCGTTGAAAGTTCGTTTCATCAAAAATTATTTCATCCTTGAGCCAGAGACCAAACGAGTTAGATGTGAGGAGTATGGGAAGTTAGTTAAGAAATTAGGTGAGGAAAGCGGAGTTTGTGGCAAGTCTGAGGAGGAATTTGTTTAATGAAGTTTTTTTTTGTGACGAAATAATTTTCGACAAAATGAACATTCTAATTTGACGAAACAAACATTCGACGAAATGGGTGTCGACAAAATGAATCAGACCTTACTTGCTTCATTAAATAATACAAAAATTAACTTTTTTAAATTCGACCTTGCATTCTGTTTAGGTTTGGTAGATACAAGTCTTGGAGCAACCACAACATCAAGAACAGTAGATTGTAAAAGAAGCAGGTTGCATTCACTTCCAGAGACAATCTGATACTACCACTATATCGAGCACGAAATCAGTATCCTTTGATTACCAAAACTTCATCTAGTGGTGTTAATTGCCTTCTTTAATTCATGAAATAACCCATCGTTACTTTCCAAGAGACTTTGTTACTTCTAAGAAACCATCCACAAACATTTTTTGCAATTACGTATATTGTGATTACGCTAACTATGCTAATTTGAATAATTATAGTGTATATACTCATGTGTGGACATGGTTATCACAATCATTGTCTACAAAGGTGCCAATCTAAATGTTTGATATCTTGGACTATCTTCAAGTCGAAAT